ATACTGCTGTGCTACTGATGATTTTTGGGTAGAATTATTCTACACGTATGACAGTCACTCCTCAAATGTAATACTTTGAATAACTTTGATTTAATATTCCATTTATTACCGTTACAAATCCGCATGTTTGTCGATAATACACATTTCATAAGTCTACATTTTAGCAAATTTGTCCCAATACAACAGGAAAATTTTGCAGGACAAATCTTCCTCACATAAATATACACGTAAATGTCAATTCTTTGTTGAAAAAGTTGCAGATTGAGAACTAAATGCAGAAAAAGCACACACAATTTGTTGACAGGCACAAGTAGCAATGGAAAACACAAATTATCCATTTGTCCATGCAAAACACCAAAATTACTAGTACGGGCTTCGTGATACATGTACATGTACGTTTGTAAGATAGAAGATGTATCCTGTGTATACTTGTACATGTTATAAAGGTATGCATGTATGCTTCAGAAAAAAATACTTTTACCTCCAATGGAGTGAACTAATGGTTAAAAGCAAAAGTAGAAAAGGACAAGATATATGCAATACTTTACCTCTTGAAATTGATTCATTGCAAGTTCTGCTCATGATGATTTCCATCAGTTTTTCCGAGTATGCTCCGCACATTGCCAATAATGTCATCAGCTGCACCAACTGACCAAAATCTGTTTCTCGATCTGCAAAGCCAACAATCTGTTTCTCTGCAGCTGCTGCCACAAGGCCAAAGACGCAAGCATCACTGCCTGGGGAAGTTGAAACATGCTGGAACTTGGCAAAGGGACTCAGCATTCCAACAAGAGTGATTAGGCTTTCATCATCAAGAGATCGTTTGGTCAAGGAAATTGCCACTGCATTAAGCAGGTTCTCGTGTAGGAATCGCTGGGCGGTGTACATTTTCAGAATTCTCGAGAGGTGATTGAAATTGAACTTATCAACCAAGTGTGCTATTAAATCCCCTGCTTTTTCTAAAAGTTCTGGACAGTAAAATCTGAAACCGGACAGGGAATGAAGAGCTTTCATCAACCTGGTGGGAGGTAGGTACTCCAGGCCATCCAACAAAATGTTGCATGCTTCCCTCAGGAAATCTCCATTGTAATACCTTATGAAATAAAATTCTGTGATGGCTTTGGACGCATCCATGACAGTTTTCTCTTTGTCTGTGTCTTTCTTTGTACTGAAAATTGCAATCAAGCGATGGGCCATTTGGGCACGATTGTGATGATCGAGTTGTTTACCAACAGTGCGAAGGATAATGTTTAACGCCCTGGCATCAGTGCAACCACCAACACGATCAGGGACAAGTAGAATTATGGCTCGCAGCAATGCATGCACTCTTTGATCCGTCTCCTGCAAACGAACAAGAACGCTAGCCAACTTTGCCAGGTCACTACAATTAAACTGATTTAGACGCTGTTCAGCACTGGCAATTAAAGTCTGAACCATCACACTACTTTGTGGAACTCTAAGGTCAATTGAGGCTTTCAGGGCATCTAGAAAGAGGTTACAATCCATTCTCTTCACATTACGGAGTACTAAATAGCACAAGTCAACGAAGTCCTTGTCTTGATGACCAGCAAGCATCCTTGATTCACTTTCACCAACTATTTCGACTTGTGCAACATTGATTTTCTGGCCAATTTCAGCTAGTCTGGATATTGCTCGTGCCACATGAACTTCATTCAGATTACCCTGGAGTTCTCTTAGAGCTTGGAATATTTCTGGTGCTGAGCAAGCTTTGTGTATACTTTTTAGGCAAGTCAGACTTTGCCCATCAACAAGATTTTCGAATGAGACAATATCGGAAGATTTTGCTTCCACTTTCTTTTTCCTTGGTTCTGGCACATATCCTAAAGGTGCGTGCCAGGCTGGTGTACAATATACCCGCTCATTTCTGCCGTGCATCATTGGAAGCCATTGCAGTTTCAAGTACTGTTGGGATTCAAAGGTTAGGAATCTGTTCCAGGTCACAAATCTCAACAATTGCTTTACCATTTCAAGGTTTTTTGCAACACATAGACTGAGCATTTTCACACTGCCACAGCACATCAACATACATCCAGGCTTTACATCAGACGTTGAGGCGTCTTTGTTGCATTCATTTCAATTCAGATACATTTACTCCATCTGCAACAGAAGAAATACACATTTAGATTTAACAAAGGGATGAAGTACACTGGAAATGAATCATGCTAACAGAAAAAGACTCAACAAATATCTCTTTAAATGGGACACCAAGCTGCACTTTCTCATTATTCTGTCAGTAATGCACACTCATGAAATACTGCGGCATTTAACTGCCTTTTGGGGTTTTATGCTAATGTGTTTACATATTTATAAGCAAAACTGTGATGTCATTCCAGGAAACATGAACACCAATCCCTTTCACAGAAATGTTTTCAGTAAGGAAATTCTGAGTTTACAACTTTAACAAAAAAACCTACGCAATGAATTATGTCTTCCCTGGATGGCATCACAGCTACAGTGCCCTCAGTTGTCAAGGAAAGCATGGATTATTTTAATTTTTTTCAGTGCATTTAACCAAATAGGCATGTAAAAGTGTTTTCATACATTAAAGAAGAATAAAAAGCTACAGAAAAAGTGTCTGAGAACAATTTATTGCAGCTACAGATTAATGTAAAATTACAAACCATTAGCAGGAGTCCTTGTATTTAGCAGAAATACATCTACATATATGTATAGTGTGACTGATCTTTGGGCAGATAAAGGCCCCCAGATGACTTGAAGGGACACACATTTCACACAGACCTTTGTTCATTTATTCTTCTTTCTTTTCTTTTGAACACTTAAAGGTGTGGATTTCGTTGTGCACATACATAAACTACTGCTACCTTGTATCAAGGTAAAAGTGATTTTATGTACCACAAATTGAAATTATAATTTCCAAATATTTGTACATTCTTAAGACCCTCACATCATGTTTACTAGGAATGCATGTACATTGCACATGTACGTGTATGTGGATTTCGCCTTCCTTAACTTCTGTCCCTGGGTTCACATTGCTAACATTTTACTTTTTTCTAGTTCCTGTATGATATTACACACTAGATGAGATGAAATGATTATCAACTGAATTACTTGTGTTTGAGGACAGGCCAACTAACGAGTAGGCCAACATGACTATTTTCTGCACCTTTTCTGAAGTATTTTGCCTGATCTTTCTATAGTGCATCCATATCAAGGCGACTGCATTATACCCCCTCCTCATTTTAAAGAAATATTTGGTTTTTGGTTTGAGGTAGATACATGTACATTGTTCTGTTCCCATCTGCTTTTTCTTTTGTTCTGAACTTGTTATAGCATTCGGCACGTTCGAGCGATCTTATCTCGCAGGAACTGCAGGATGAGACTCTTTAGTTATACAAAAGGCTTTCTACTCATAGTTCGATAACTCTTTAACTAGAATAACTAGAACAGTGACTAACCTTGGATGGCGTATAAAATAAAAAATGAACGATAGGCTGACAGATGAGACCTCAGTCAGAAAGCAGGCATTTTAACATGGTTAAGCGTAGCCCCACTAGTGTGGCACAGATCACTCCCAATTTATCCTTAGCCATACATCTGTCTACGCAATTTCGTGTCGGCCTATTGAACATTCCGGCGCACCCACTTATCATCATGGGCGAAATTTCTTTTGCACACGAACATGATTCTTGCCCTTTCCGCTTTCTAAAAACCATTTATTGAATGATTTCACTCACGTTATTCAGGTATTTTCCAGTCTTTTTGCCTTTATCCATTCAATCTAACGGGCTCGCTCTCTCAGTCGTCATCTTTAAAATAAGGTCGTTGAGCATTACGTCATTTCACCCCTCATCATCTCGACGGCTGTTTCATGTATTGCAAGATATATGCAATACACGGACTGAGCGATAAGATACTACATGTACCAATGGGGTCTTCCAAACTTTGGCAGCAATTTAGTTATCTTGACATGGAACAGCCGTCGAGACGATGAGGGGTCAAGTGACGTAATGCTCAACAACCTTATTTTAAAGATGGCGACTGAGAGAGCGAGCCCGTTAAATTGAATGGATAAAGGCAAAAAGACTGGAAAATACCTGAATAACGTGAGTGAAATCATTCAATAAATGGTTTTTAGAAAGCGGAAAGCTCAAGAATCATGTTCGTGTGCAAAGGAAATTGCGCCCACGATGATAAGTGGGTGCGCCGGAATGTTAAATACGCCAACACGAAATTGCGTAGACGGATGTGTGGCTAAGGATAAATTGGAAATGACCCATGCCACACTAGTGGGTCTAGGTTCAGCGCAACCTTGAAGTTTATTGTACCTTACTCCCATAAGCCTTGTTTATCCCATGACTTGATGTTATTCAAACTGGCAAATCATCTCAGGCATGTCAGGACGGAGTGCAATAATTGAATAAATTTACGCAAGGTTCAAGATTGCGCTTAGGCACATTACTTAGCCGAGTCTGGACTAAACACTAACGCATTTTATTAAATTATTGTCATTGTTTCAAACATCGATAAAAGTTAAGCTGTTTATAACAACTTACATAAATTTAATGCTTGTTCTCATCTAGTAAAGGAAAGAAACATGAAGGTTGGAAAAGAAAGGAGGAGCCAAGACGGAATGAACTGTAAAGTGTAAAAGTACAACTCAGTTGGCACAGTTACTACTACTAGTACCGTGAACGAACATCATCTGTGAACATGTTCACGTACGACGTGTGTACGTTACAGGAAAGCGTTCGAGCGGAGCTACTCGTGAGCGCTCGTCCGCTGGAGTACGACCGCGGGTCAGCGAGCTCTCGCTAAAGTGTACAGCTAGACCCAGGGGTCGACCCAAGTGCAACGCGCACGCATCCTACTCCATTGACAGGAGTAACCGCGCGAACGCACCCTCAACAAAAATGACAAACATATGCCGTCGTTACAATAGCTTCATACCCAGAGGTTATTTTCGTTCTGACGCTCGGTATAACACATAGGACGTGTAATGTGTACGAGGTTGTCCTGATGGTTTAGACTGGTGCCTAAATCCGTTTCGTGAAAATTCAGCGTAGCTGCGTCAGGCAGTTGAAACATCACAAGGCCGTGTCCGAGTCACTTGGCTACGGCCGGAATGTACATACAACTCAACGGGAACTGGCCGCAGCCACTTCCTTAGGCTCGTGCGTAATTTCCAGCCGTAACTTCGGCTTTTTTAGTCGGTCATGTACGCGCTGGGAACTCACGTACACTCATGTCACTTGTTTCAACGTCTGACGTTCTTTGTAAAGCCTAGTTCATGCAGTTCGTGTACAGTTTCCCCACCTTGCGCTGAAAAGAATATCATTAAAGTTGTCGATAATGCCACCTCCTCAAAAAGACAGGTGTATTGCCGTTATGGGCTTCAGATCCGTTGGTGAGTCGAGTAGGCCTAGATTTCAGCAAATTTGCCAAGCACTGAAGCAGTTGCCAAATCATTTGCCACATACATGTCATGACATAGTGAGTCACTACCTAGGCTTAATACATGTATCAACAACATGATCGTGACCAACGCAACATGGCTATGGTGGCCTAGTCTAGAGCCCTATGTGATGTCAATTCACAGAGGAATATAATGAGTCATGACTCACATGAGTGTCACCACCAAACAAAACATTTTTCGTTTCCACTCGAAAACGATTGCTCCATTCCTGCATATGCATCATGCCCCATACATGTGTTGGGCTGGCCAATGGCCAAGCTTGCTCCGCATCTCAGCTCAGCATCTCGGTTCGACCATTTTCGGAGATGGGGGGGGGATTTCTAAGATCTTGCAATCTGTCACTGCACACAGCACAGTGCATATTGCACGTCCATCATGTCCATGAGGTACAAGTCACAGTAATAAAAGTAAAGACAGTCATGGAATGAAAACAAGATACTGTCCCCCTGTCTCCGAAAATGATCAAATTGAGATGCGGAGCAAGCTTGGCCATTGGCCAGCCTGATGCATGCACAATGTGATTTTTCAAAAAACGTTCGCTCTCATGCTCTGAAACCATCAATTACACCCTTTTCAAGAGCTATAGGTACCTCACGGTTGCTCTCACAGGAAAACTTGATTGCAGAAGTGGAATTTGAGCGGCTGGATCATTTACCACAAAAAGTTGGATTCAAAAAACCCATAGCGTTACAATCCCATGTAAATTACACTGGTCCAAAGTCTCATGGAGTTGTGACTTTGAGTTGTCGTATTGAATCTGTTACGCCCCAACTATAGCATAAGTCCCTACTTTAGTTGGGACAGTCCCAACTTTAGTGCCGCAGTTGAGCTGGCCCAACTATTGTCGACCAATGTCTGTGGCAAATGTCTCAACATTATCCAAGTCTGTGTGTCTCACACTTGACACAATTCATCTAAAATGTGGCACTTCATCTGTTCATTTAGCCTTATGACCAGTGACATGACATTTGTAAACAATATGACTTTGACACATGCTGGGCACATCATTCTCATAGGACCTCTCTGCTGTAGTTGGGCCGGCCCAACTGTAGCACCCTAGTTTGGACGGGCCCAACTATAGTTGGGACTTATGCTATAGTTGGGGCGTAACAAATCCATAGGCCTAACGTCCACGACAATGTAGTCGCCGGGTCTCTTATTTCGCTTTCTCCACATAGGCCTACTTGCCGTGAAAGACCACTGAGACTTGACGATACGTGGCAAAATGAAGGACCTGGCAACTATATGGTCAAAGACATTACCAATATTCAGCACAATCTTTATTCTTGTGCAAATTTATTGTATTCCCTCCAGAGGTGATTATCCTATGAATGGATTGCATTCAAAGGCAAATGATTTTAGGATGAAGTACAATAGATTTGCACAATATACAAGGTTGCACTGAACACTGATATGTTGAGGGTAGGCCTACTTCTGGAAACCAAAAGGCAGCACCGATATTTTTAAGCTCTCTTTTTAGAATTTTGTACTTGAAGAACTGGACTGTTTATTGATGAAACTGTACAATTCCATAGAGATTCTAGTGACGTGAACTTACGCCATACATTTATTTATTTCAGTTCTTGGGATACATTTACAAAGACGTCAGGTGCACAAAGATACATTGAAACATTTGAAGCAAAACATAAAGGACATAATATTAACCAGCTTGCGCTGGATTGCCCAAAAGAAACATAATTTCAGTTAAGGGGCTTTCCAACTGGTTAAATAGGAAACAGGAAACTATAACAAAATTATAACATTTTTTCAAAATTATGTAAAACTGTACGCGTACACTGAGTGTCACATACCTGTAAGCATACAAGTCAAGTCGCTTTTCACCGTTGACACTTGACAAAACACTCTCTCAATAGCTAACGTGAACTGGTAAGTGAAAAAGGCATGTCTGAATGTGATGATATCCATGTACAATATGCCTAGAATGAATGTACGTGTAATTCTGCAGCATTTGTTCATTTGAGTTGGTTTTGAAATCAAAAGATGATTTTGGTGCCTGGTTATGTGTACAGGTGTATGTTGGGTGCAATCAATTAATATGTGCAATCTGTTGATTGTTTTGATGTTGGTTGAATTTTAAAACAAATGGATTTTTTTGTCAAAAGCCCGAAATGCTCAAAAGATGTACATTGTACATGTTCAATTGCAGACAAATACCTTTTTTCCTGTAAATTTCCTAAGATTTTCACATACAAGTACACACTTTACAGAATTTGTATCCATATGGATACAATGTTTTGTTTTTGCATACTAAAACACTCATCTGACCTCCCTTCCCCAGGCTGAATAGCTAAGCATTTCACAAAAACTGAGAAACACCAGAGATTGCATGGCTTTGAAAATATCTTTACGGTTGTTGTTTGCCCAGAGTAAGGAGAAATTATTTGAATCACTGAGCATTTTTACTTGTTTCGCATTTGTTGACGTATTGCAGGGAAGTCATCATTGACCATACAGTTTGTGGAGAACCAGTTTGTGGATGCTTACGACCCAACCATTGAAAACAGTAAGTTACATCGAAGTAAGCTACTGTGTCTAAGTTTTGTTAGTTAAATGGTCATTTCATGTACTCACAAGCTTGTTAGTGATTATCAAATATTTTGAAATTTTCAAACCTACATGTATATGTACATGTACCTCAATATACCAGATCAGCTGTTGTCTCAACACTTGGAACGATCTAGTTCAATTTGTAAACAAAGAGCATCAATTATGAAGATAAGCCATTTTCATCCAGTGCTCGTTCTAGGAACATACATTTAACTATTGTTGCCTGTGGTGTAGTGGTCCATGGTGTTTTTTTTACAACCAAGGAGCAGTGGCGTAGCTAGAATTTTACTAGTGAAGGGCACCAGCATCTTATGGGGGGGCCGGCATCTTATGGAGGGACACCAGCTTTCAGGCATGTGGTTTGTTTTGGGCAAGCTTTTGTTAGCCTTGTTCAATATCCATTCATCCATTTTTCTTAGTGGGGGTCATCTGGGGGAGCACCAGGAATTTGTGGAGGGGGAAAGTCCCTCCCCCCATTACCCACTGCCAAGGGGGGCAAATGGCACCCAAAGCTCTCAGGTGCTTTTTCTACCAGAAAATCTCTTTTGGTGGCACCAAACTCATGTACACATTTTTAAACTTTAGATGCCCATGTGCATTTCAGCAAGTTATAAACCCTTCAAGTTGAAGACACATATATGTACATGTTATGCATACATGTACCACCAGCCTACATGGTACATGCAACCTTAGTAACAGCTTTTAATTCTCACCAAATTACTGTAAGTATATGTAATCTGCATGTACAAGTACATGTACAAACTTCCAAGAGGAAGAACATTGGTAGCTAAATTTTGGGGCAGAAATTCATCATATTTTCATTGCATTGCAGCTTTTGAAAAAATGATCAAACTTGGCAATCAAGAGTACAAACTGAAGATCGTGGACACAGCAGGCCAGGATGAGTATTCCATCTTCCCACAGTCCCTCACCTTCACGATACATGGTTACGTCCTTGTCTATACAGTCACATCACAAAAAAGGTGAAAAGGAAATTATCTGATATTACTTAAGATTTCTATTGACGTCCACGGGTGCAACTTCTCTGAGGGGTCAAAATTAGTGGCGGTCTACTGGCCCGGGGCCACCAAAAAATTCATTGGGCCACTGCATTCTCCAAAAACGATGGCCAGGCAGGACAGTGGTCATTTGAGGAATATTGCCACATTTTCAAAACTTTTATGACATTTACGACTCGTGTTTAAAATCACCAGCGCAGCACTTCCAAGTTGACGGTATAATTTCCACAGTCCACGCAGCCGTGATTGCCTGCTATAATGCGCTGCGGTCATGTGCCACATACGCATGTAGTGCCCAGTGCGACGTTATGTTCATTGCAAAATCATGCATACAGCTCATACACGTGCAAACGATCTGGGTACTGATATGTTGACTGGTATCATTTTCTAACAATGTCATTTAAACGCCCGCGGACACCAAAGAAACCTTTTAGGTCATGTCGCGTTGAGTCTGCATCAGGCCGACTGTCAAGTACAAGCAATATAGCCACAAATTAAGTCTGTGACCACAAAAAGTACATATATAGACAACAAATCAAGTTCTAGAAATTAAGTTGTAGAAATCTTCCTGTGACATCATTTTTTTCTCGATGTGCCGCTATAGAGTTGCATGGGGATGCATGGACTGGTTGCAGCATCATTATCCCACCTTCTTTGGCAGGGCGCGGCGTAGCGGGAACCAGTGAAGCCTTGCTTCTATGCATTGAGCAATATTGGGTGCATGTTTTCACCACCGTGATAATGAAATGCGAAGGGAACTTGTGAAAATAACGGAAATTTATGTCTAAATGTTGCAAAAGTAGGCAGGCAAACAAAAAATACAACCTTTTAGATGTGAAAAATTGTTGAGAAGTGTTTTGTGAAGACAGGATTTTTTTTCCTTTTTTGTTTAAATTTTAAATGTGTTTTTCTAACTTACCAATATAGATTTTACAGTTGCACTGAATATATAGGATCATTCGTGTAACCAGAAGCAGAACTAGTTTTTTTTGGCCGCAAAAAATGCATTTCAATCCAGCCAGGATGACCAATCAGCTGTTTTGGTAGAGAAGATTGATTTCATTACATGTACTCAACCTGGGCCACCAAATTTTCACAAGGGCAAGTGCGGTGCACTTCTGCTGGCCCTGCATGCCACCAAGAGATTGAAGTTAATTTTGACCCCTCTCTCTTCTTTAAATTGGCTAAGACTTCCCCTGAAAGGCCCTGCATCTTGGTCCTTGTACATGTTTTGTTCCCATGTCATCACAATGTACTTATTAACAGCATAGAGCCTTTATCATTTCTCCTGCAGTCATATTTACTCCAATAATATGAAATCTGACATACCATTTTAAAAGTGTCCATTTTTTCAGGGACAGATGAGTATGTTAGGGTAAAAAAACCTTTCCTACTGTCTGCTCACAGTGAAAAGTGCTCATGTACAAAGCAAAATATGTTAGGATGTGAACTGTAAATCAACTCAAAAACAAAACAGTCTGTTTGATACACATGTACTAATCATAATCGAAGCCTTCATAGGCGTGCCAAGTACAAACAAGTTCTGTCAAGAAACCCTGGGTTTTAGGCATGTAGGAGTTAATTTTGAACTAATGTCATTGCATGCTAATAAATTTTGCAACCAAGTTGCCTAATGCCCATCAATGTAATGTACAATACATTTCAGAAAGTCTCCATGTACAGTATGTGTGCACCTGTCAGCAGTCTACAAAAATTGTAACGGGTGCTTTTTCTACCTTAAAATACAAAAAAGCATTTCTTTTCAGTTTGAAAGAATTGACAGAAAGCTTTTAGACAAAACTGCTTTTCATTATACTCTCAAATGAATTCCTTTGTATTGGTGGCTGAATTAATTAACATCAATTAAACAAGATCAGTGTCCCAAAGAATAAAAAACAACCGTACTGGTGAACCAAGTACATGTACATTGTATTTAATAAAATGATGAAGCCTATGGCAGGGCAATGTGTTACATAAGAGCAAATTGTTTTGTTTCTTGGCAGTTATTTTGAGGTAACGTTAACAAGAAGAGAAACAGGTTTGAAAATATACATGTACATGTACTCAGCATTCCGTTCTCTAGCAGCATCACCATACACAGGTCTTCAACCTTTACTCTATTTCTTGCATCTTTTCAAACAGTTTTGATGTGGTGAAAATTATTCATGAGAAGCTCTTGGATACAACAGGCAATGTCAAGTAAGTAAGATTTAGAAATAGGTGATCTACAGAACTCTTCTTGCAGAATCCTTTTGTTGAAATTCATCATTAATTTCCTTTTTTTAATCCAGCTCTGCATTACTGCACTCAACCTTACTGTCAAAATTTGCAGATTCTTTGTGGGTATGAGAAAATGAATTTTGAGGGTCAAAATCATGTTCTATCCATTATTTCAGTGACACAGCTTCAAGATATGCCGCATGTCAAAAAGTACATGCATGCTTTGCAGTCCTGAGAAGTTTGAGTTAATTAGAAATTAGAAGAATATCCTGTTCAAAAACTACCGGTACCACCCCACAAAAGTTTGAAATGGATACAGTCAGTTAGCAGGATAACTCTCCCTGCCCAACCTGTCCTAGTGGGCCAACCCTGTATGGTCAACTGGTTTGACAGTAAACTATGGCCCTGCTTACCTGCACTTTACAAAGCACTTGTAGAGCTGTTGCATATATAGGGGTATGCACATGTACAGATGAACATCAGCCTAGCGTCACATAAAAAGATGGTGGGGCATTTAATTTGTTTTCGTATAAATAACATAGTTTAGTCAATATTAGCTTCCCACTATGTTGGAAGTTGATAAACCAGTGCCCTTTGCTTAGCCTCAAGATCTATTCTTTTGCAGCTTGTCAGCTTGCAATACTTTGGTGAGGTAACGTCAACTATCCACCCTCAAACCATGTGAATTTTGCAGAACCCCCCCTTCTTACATCAGTCACTCTGTGCCAGATCAGCAAACTGTTCCTGGAGTGTCACTAATTTTGATGAATAGAAGTTGGCTAATTTGATGGTCCCATGGAAGGAGTTCATTACTCAAATTAATTTTCCCCTGGACCCCCCTTAAAGCCACTGGTTTGAAGTTATAATCAACAACTTTCTACCTTTTAGTAGAAAGCTGAAGAGTAGAAAAGTCAAGAACACATCATTTTCAGAATCTAATGATGAGGAAGATCTCTTGTATGTGTACAATGTACACATAAATTACTTTATTTCCTCTAATTCTAGTGTTCCTGTGGTTCTTGTTGGCAACAAGAAGGATCTTCACATGGAAAGGTAAGGATCAAACTTACATGTACACAGCTCACTATTGTGGCCAATATAAATCTTAATTGCCCACTGTTAATTCAGTTGGCAATTTCTTTTAAGTGTGCAACTGCATGCTTTTATTTATAACTGGAACAACCATATTAATTAATTGAATCTTGATCTCAACATAAATTTACATAATTTAGACAAAAATGAGCACTTTGTCATAATACTGAAAAATCTATTAAATTGGCCAGGAAAACCTGTATATTGACCCCTCCTAAAAACACTACAGATGGTATTGGTTGCAGACAGTAAAAGAGTTTTTGAATATGGCAATTGGTTTTGGTTGTGTCTTCCAATTTTGAATGTCAAAGTTGCGATCAGCATATTTTTAATGCCCCATTGGCAAGGCCAAAGGTACATCCTATTTCTACCTTGTGTGTCCGGTATGCACAAATATGGCAAACCTAATATGGACGTCCAAACAAAAGAGGTCCACAGAATGAGGTGAAAGAAGAAGTGTGGACTTGCACACGTCCACACAGTGTTTCCCCTTTTTTGAAAACAATGTCACAGCATTTTCAAGTCCGAGTTATTCGTATATTTTGTATTTTTGTATTCAGGCTGCACTTTAGTCAGTGTACATGTAGGTCATACTTGCTTCATTAAAGTTTACACAGAATAAGACCACGAAACAACACGCACACAAAGCAGTAGAGTGTGTGGCAATGTATTTTAATAATGTAATAATGACTGACATGTACTTAGTGAATGACATGCAAAGTACATTACACAGTTGAACCTCGTAAACAGGAGGTCCTTTGAACATTATGTAACAGGAACCTTTTATAATCGGGAATGTAAACAATGAGAAAAGAATGGATTGGGGCCAAAAAAATTGTGAATGTTGTATTAAGAGTGCTCTTATTTACAAGGCTCAACAGTACATGTACCATGTATCGCATGCATGCTAATGTTACCCCTCAGGCTTTTTTGGGGAGGTGGAGTTCATGGGTGGTATGTAAACTACATGCACTTTCAGTAGTGCTGAAATGATAAGTTTTTTTTCAGTGTTAACCTGCTTGAATTGTTCAAGAAAGGGATAAACTTAATGTAGCCTTGGTCAAGTCATTTGTTGCAGCATAGCGCAGCTCGCACAAGCCGCTCCCTGACCTAGTACGTACCTGCGTACGTACATACTTGCTACATTGCAAAATCAAGGCGAAGAGCGACATCACACGGCCTAAGAAACATGCAAATCAGCTAAACCAGGTCGAACGTTTTGGTGCAACCGTCCGTGGAAGCTCATGTTTTTCTTTACTTTGCGCTAGATTTCTAGCGCATGACCTCCTATGTGAAATATAAATAGATGCAGGCGTGCGATGAGTGCACAATGACCGATCTCAGCAAAGTATACATATGCATAATGCATCAATGTGAACTGGCATGCATGATAACCATGTAAAATGACCGACCTTCCGAGACGACTGCAGCCAACAAGTTAATTGTCTTGCTGCTTGAATTCCACTGCAGATAAATTAGTTGTGGGTGATTTTCATGCTGAGCAATACTAGAATACTTCCTGTTGGGTCACAATGTTTTTCCTGAATTTGCCAACAGGCTACAGGAAATTGTTTTTTTGCTGCGTGTCCATGCACTGCATGATACCGCGAAACACACCAGCAGGGTCGATACCGTTACGGACAACTCCATGGGAAGCAGTCAAGTTGTGACAATTGTCATTTGATTTGTCAATGGAAAACCGGAGGTCGCTGACCAAGTCTGTGTTGCAACTGATGAAGCCAGATAACGTTTGTCCACCAATTGAAATTGTTGGAAAAAAATCAATCGCAATCAGTAAAGCAAAGCAAAGGCGAACTCGATCTCTGATTACTCTGATCAGCTGGTAAAATAAATATTGTTGACTTGTCATGTACCTGTATAGCCACGTGTGCGTTCAGTTAACCTTTCACCTCACGACTGACTTGAATTATGCAGTTGCTATGTAGCAATGAACCAATCCAAAAGCATATTTAAAACCACAGCTCTTGTCATTAGTGTAACCCGTGGTTCACATTTCAAAATAGCAGGAACCAAATTTCATGTTAATTTAATTCCCTTTTGAAAAAAATCTTGACTTCGCACTATTCAGGATACAAAAGAGATTTAGTTTTATTGGAGGAAAAGAGCCAGCTAATCAATATGAGAAATACAAAGTAAATGCAGAGAACACCAATTCAGATGGCCACAAAGTGAAATATGAGGTTTACAGAGAATGCAGGATCCTGCTAAGTTAAAATACACTTTAAGCTCAGGAAAAGATTTGGCGCCAATGTTCAAGATTTACAGGTGAGTTGCAACGAGTCATTCCAAGGTGAGTTGCGACGAGTCATTCCAAGGTGGGATGACAGGAGTCTGTTGTGTTGTGTAGGCAGTCGGCAAAAGTGAAGGGCAAAGTTCAGCAGAAGAAATGTTACGTAAAAGGATACTTGCGGATCTTGCAAGGTTGATGCTGGTGATTAGTGTCGCAGATGCCTTGGTGTACTTGTGCTGTGTCTGCAAGTCTCATATATGTAGCTTGGTGGCTGAGAGGCCTGGAGACAGCTCTTCAGCTGGACTACAGAAACTCCTGTCCGGCACCCTCTTTCAGAACATGCAGTTAAGTAACTAAGATAGAGAGCCTAAGATAGAGAGCCTAAGACAGAGAGCCAACACTCGTGAACATAAGGGGAAGACTTGGATTTTGAAGTCCTCCAGTCCAAAGAAAAGTAGTGCAGTGTGCAGACAGAGTTCGACAGGCATGTAGTCAGCATGACTGCAAAGTTTGGAATGCCCAGCTTGCCAAAACTCTTGGGCAAACTGCTCCCCAGAACATGCCTTTGCCACATAACTAGCTCAAGCTCTCATTGGACAACTTAAAAAGTGCCACACACGACTCCAATACTGATTGGTCATCTAGTATCTAGGCAGATGAGCACTTAGCAGAAGTTTTTGGCTTTCACAGCTTGGAGTAAGGTATGAACAACAACTAGGAATTAAGTTTCCCAACATGCTGCTGATCTCCTGAAAAGTTTACTGGGACTGTACACACTGGTGTACTAGTCAGAGATTAAAGGCAGTGGATACAAGGAGCATCCTGTGATCTCCTAGGAAAGCAGGAACATTAAAGATAAACTGATGAAAGAGCAGGCTATTTGACAAAAGGAACAGGCAATAGATCAAAGGTTCACCACTGCAACACTGCTCACCAGTAGAAAAGTCAAAGCTCAGGAAAGAACAATTTAAGTATGCAAAAGGAAAACATAGTCATGAAGAAACAAAATTTAAAGTTGTAACCCAAGACCTCTTTTGGGACGTGGTTACATCAGCATAATGAGCACTGCCCAATACACCTTCTACGGATGGTTGCACCAGGGCGTGTGTACTGGTTCAGCTGATTTGCATATTTCTTAGGCCGCGTGAGGTCGCTCTTTGCCTTGATTTTGTAATGTAAGCCGGTACGTGTATGTACGTACACACACAGGTACGTACTAATTCAGTGAGCAGCTGGTGCGCTCTGCACTGAGACGAATGATGAACGCCTTGACCAAGGCTATGTATATTGATATTGGTGGTGCTCTTTAACTGTAGGATTTCCTCGTTCATTGCTTCATTTTCCCAAATTGTAATGTCATTTGGAGTCTCTGCCAGGTACTGAAGACCATTATACAAATATTGACCTCTGCAATGTTTCGGGCTACTGTCAAATAAGTTATTGCATATTACCCTGTCCCAGCTCTAAACAAATAGCTGTGTTTTCATTCACAGGGTTATATCTACAGCTGAAGGTAAAGAATTAGCAAATTCATGGAATGCAAACTTCATTGAATCTTCAGCAAAGCAGAATGAGGTCAGTGGAAAATGTACATAGTATCCCTCCCCTTAGTCAACAATTTGCACTTTGCGAATGTGCCGATTGGTTCCTGTGTCAAGTTAACATCCATTCATGAATACCTTTGCCATGTTAAGGTTGATGTAACATGACAGATTAAATGCAGCACATCGTAATATTTCTGCCCAAAGCATCTTGTGTATTCAGATCAAGAATTTATTTCCCAAAACACAATACGTATCATATTTGGTAGCTCTCAGAGTGATGATAAAAGTAATTAAAATAATGTTGACTTGTAAAACACACTTTCTCAGGAATCTGATAAAGGAATCTTACATTGTTAAGGTACGTGTAGCAATAGTAACATGGTTTGCAGAGACACCGTGTGATCTGCATCTTCCGTGAGCAGGTGTGGATCTGGTAAGAACCGGGGGGGGACTGGATGTTTCAAACAGCTGTTCTGTTCGTCTTCAGAAGAATGCAGGATTCTGGCTGGAGAGTGGTTTATATCCAAAATCCTGCATTCTCCTAAAGACAAACAGAGCAAGCTGCTTCAAACATCGAGCCCCTGGTTCATATCAGAACCACACCTGCTCACAGAAGAGATAGATCACATGGTGTCTCCGTGAACCATGTTACGATTGAACCTTACATCATTATTATCCCTCGTTCCTAAACCATCTCAGCTCCCTTGGGAGTAAACAGCTCAATGCTGTCATTTCAGGCACAAACATCTAATGCAACAACCATGCCTGCCCTAAAATGTACCAGTATCAAGTACTCCCCTCCTAGTGGGAGTGAAGTGACTTGCTCAAGGTTACAACATGTACATGTAAGCAGTAGCAACTGGATTCAAACCCCTGACTTTGTGTTCATTGTTCTCAAACCCTAACCACTAGGCTATCATCTTATGCCTCCATGAATCTGATCTATGATTGAAATACCTACCTGTCCCTTCCCAGCAAAAGTTAATTGGCTGTTAACTCCCAGCAAAATGTTTGAAACCATTCACAATGAAGTATGTTGCAGGTTGTTAGGGAACATCAGTGCAAGCACACAAGGTTTACCCTATCACCACAGCTGTAATACGACACATACACACTTAACATTTTCAAACTTCAAACTGGTGTAAAGTCATGTTCTTTTCTTAAGTGACCTTATCTTTTAAAATACTGAACTAGCTCACTACAAGAACAATTTGTTACGTTGTGTCTTGGATACTATACCATACATGTACTTTCATTGGTCCAGAACAATCATAGATATTTCCGGTCTATTGAAATGAGTCTTTACCTCCTTGCATGTAAATTACCTCAACTGTTCACATGTAACCTCTTAACAGTTACAGTTTAGTAACTTACTTTTTTAACTGCTTATTGGCAGTATTATTCTACAAGAAACTTGTCCCAAATGGTATTACTTTTGGCCCAATATTTTGACCCTTTAAAACAACAAAATCCCACAACCACAGTCCTTTGCAAAGTGAACTAGTGCTGAACCTTGGTCATTTGCTCAAGTTTTGTGTGATGTTTCTGACATCATTGCTTTTTACAATCCAAGATGTTCTTGGAACAGGATTACACACCACCTCCTCGTCAGGGTTTTACAGGAACACACGGAAAAACTTGTGAGATTATGATTTTTGAACAGTCGCAAAAGATAACGAGATGGCTCACAAAGCCAGAGACAATGGGAAATGAATGTTACAAAATTAACAATAATCATTTTCCATAGCAAAGAAATAAATGTTCCTTTTTAAATAGAAAAGAATTCAGCCAAGCTTTCCAAGTTTCCTCTGAAAGAATGTACATGGATGCTGCCATGTTCCATGCAACAACCGGTTGTACGTTCCCGGCATTTGAGTGGCCGACTAACAAACAACAAGTCAAGCTGTTCTTGAACAGACGAGAACAAGCCGAATTCAGCCATTGAGAGTGAAATGGTTAAGAGAAAGTTAAAACTTTCATTATTTTTACTATTGGAACTCTCTGACCAAACATTTGACAGTTGACTGCTGTGATGTGGGAAGTTGAATATTTTTTGTAGCAGTATGAATGATGCGCTGTGGTTTCCATCCAGTACTCAACCCAGAATTTGAGTTGACATTCAGTTTCTTGTCTTTCAGGCGTATTCTGTTGTGTCATGTTTTGCCAAATAATTTCTGATTTTGTTTTTCACTGTTGCAGAGTGTAGTGGACATCTTCAAGACATTACTAGAGATTATCGAGAAAAAAGATGGGGGTACACAAAAGAAGGACAGTGAATGTGTTCTCCTGTGACTGTGTCTCATGTAAAAATCATGGTCATCTGCCAGCAATAAAAGGTGCACTGTCACATTTTTAACTCAGTATTTCGTCTAGTTGGTACAGATAAGAAAGCATTCTTAACTGTTACAGCTCCATACTAGAGGCTATTTACATGTACATGTAGATGAATAAATTTGGGTTAATCTATTCAGTGCTATGTTTACATGTAAAAGCCACATGATATAAGAAGTAAGTGTCTCTTTGAAGAATGAATGAAAGTGTACAATATATGCTCCATCTGAAGCTAGTGAAATGCATTGTACATGTATATGATACTTTACAGCCAACCTTTGTAATGTATTGTAATGTGGCACAAAGGTAATTTACATACATGTACTCTTACAATCTTGTAGTGTTGGTCTTCCAAAATATTTATGCCCCAAAACACTTTGACTTAATCCTAACAATTTCCAAACATTGCCAACTATTGGTTTGTTATTACAGTGCTCTAAGTGTCTGCATATCTGGTTCCATTCTGCTGCTAAATCCTGCCTCTAGTCCAAGCATGTTCTTCTGCCCTGTCTTTTTGGTGGAAAATTCGCATAGTCATCCAATTTTCATTTCTTGATCGTTCATTATATGGCACCAACCTCCAGAAATGAATAAATATGTCCCACAAAGTTTTACTTGTTCATTACAAATAACAGCTGACTTTAATAGTTCAGTTACTAAAGAAATGTGAGCTTACATTTCAGAATCAAACAACAACCAAGAACATAAGGTTTAAAAAACTAAGTGATTGTTTCAGGTTTTAAGTATCATATTGGTACTTTAAGCAAGTTTTGGTTCAGGTCACCTGACTGACCCTGTCTTTTAGAACCCATAAAATGTGGTTCTTACAAACTTTATTAACTTTGGAAAGAAGTAAATCAAACTATACTAGTTTCCAGTCAGAATTAGTCATAATTCAGCAACCCATTGTTATCTGCATTTTATGAGTTTTGTTAAAAATGTTTCGGTAACTCACCAACATGTTCATTCAGTCCTTCCCAAAATATGACAAACACATGATACACATCTGACAAATTGTCACCAACCCTTAAAAACCATTATTGCAGTGTTAGTGTTACCACTTTTGTGTGCAGGTGGTACGTGTACATTACATGCTTCTGCAACCAAAAAGGCATCCTGATTTTCCAAAAGGCACACATGCCTCAAGGTTAAGAATAATTATGTATGAGTGTTGTGTTATCGCAATAATGGTGTCTCCTCAGATAAATCAATATGGATTTTATTGATTATGGATAAATCAGTATCCATTGTATTTTTAGTCAAATTTTACACCCTCTAAAAGGATACATTAAATACAATTTCCGTACATTTCTTTGTTCAGCTTTTCTTCATACAGTACAGTGTACCTACGGATGATGAAAAGGGGATAGCAGTTGCTAGTTAAAGATATGGATGGATCTGAATCTTAAAAATATTCCTGATTTGAAAATGATACAGGCAGTGATTGGCAGTTGATGAAAGGTTTGAATCTGAAGTCACCAGCACACGTTTTCAGCAATGCTGTCTTGCTGGAAACTAACACCATTGAAAGCAAGTTTGTGTCTGTTACAAATTCCAAATTGCAAGACACTTCTGGTTTCGACTGGAAGTAAGAATCAGGTGATGTTATGTACATAATGCAAAGTGAAGACCAAAATTACTCCATCAGTTGCCCCTAAAAGCAAGATAAGGAATCTTATAGTAGATTTTTCAAGTAAAAAACAGTCAAAGTTAAATTGCTAGCCTGATGATGCCATGGTGTAAATATGCACCACTCAGCATCGAGGTCAGACTGTATAAAGTTACGATTTATACACGTATCTTAAACAGTCTATGAGAAAAGCTGTCTAGAATTGTATGGAAATAAAAGAGAAAAACAAAAAAAAGACAAAACGAAATAAAGTGTAATTTGAACTATTTAAAACAGTGATGGGTTGTGCCTGATTACTCAGTAACATGTTTTTTGTCTACGAGCCAGCCCTCAGTCTCCCTCTCCATGTGACCCAAACCAAAGGTACATGTACAGGTTTCTTTGTTCAGAGGGTCAGCAGACTCCCTTCTTTAATTTCATCTTCAGAAGAGCATTTAAAGATAGTGACAACTTGTTCTTTATATTACCCATGACAAAAGTGTGTGACTGGCTGTGGTGAACATTTTCTCTCTTCCAAAATTTCTAATCTGCAAAATATATTAGACATGTGAGAGGTTTTTTGCATTGTTTTACTTAATCTGGGTTTCAAACCTTTCAAAGTTTCTGAATAATCTTGATGTTATTAATTAAATCAAACAAAAGCTGGAAAGAGAATTTTCATTGAAGAGGAGCAGAAGAAGACTATACATTCCACATTATTAATGGAAATGGGTAGGTCATGGCTGTGTGCATTGATGATAGCACTGCATAAAAAACACAGTGATGTCCAAGGGGGCCAAGATGAGTGCGCACTTGTGTAGAGGTGCCAATCTTATAAACATGTACTTAGTATGGACCCATTAAAAAAGAGATTCATTCACATGGATAGTGTGAATTATATCAGCACCTTTAAATTACAGATACTGTAAGGTTCTGTGCGCCTTATAAATGTTTTGATACATGTATTATTGTTACTATAATGTGGGTTGTCCAGACCTTGTGTGGACTATAACTAGGCCCATACAAGTAAACCTTCTTCCTGTAAAGCCGTTTGAGGCATTTACACTTGTTGGTATGTACTTCTTGTAGAGTACAAATGTACGTGTTAACGTATATAATTATCTAATATCCACCTGAACGGACACAAACCTTGCATATTCATGTATGTATGTATGCTAGGCATATCGTTGACTGGAAAGCTTTGCTCGTTATTATATAGGAATATGAATGTGTTACTTTTTGTTTTGGAAATAGTTGTGTTGGTTTCTGTGTGTCATTAATTCTAACTTCCCTGTAATTGATTGGCCTGTCTATCTCTTCTTGTGTGGCATGATGAGTCAAACCCGTGTGTCAAAGGTTGTGAGACCCTGTGTCTAAGTGGCAGATTCGTGTACATGTATAAGGGCTGTGCTCCTAATATACATGGGCCATTTTGTTTTACATAGATCCAAACCGCGATCAGTGACACCAGAATGTGCTATGTGGGTGGAGCAAACCAGCGTCGGGATCACTGATCAAGAGTCAGATCTTTGTGAAATGAACAGGCACCAAGTATCAGATCTATGCTTGGACTAAAACAGACATTCAGTGTTAGCTCAGCCTTTCTCACCAGTGTAGGGGGTCCTGTGTGTGAAGTCTACTGGCTCACACTGAGAAACCTGATCATTGATCAGTATGATGATGTTGTATGTTAAGGATAATCACTGATAATGAATCCTATACAATGCCTGAATAAATTCCCTTTATATGATTGGCGGGTCATTGAGCATGTGTCCTGGAATTATTCCTCTCTATACATGGCATGACTGTACCACAAAAATACAAGTTTTACGCCACAAGAAATGTCTAACCTCATCGTTGATGATCCCTCCAGGCAGGAATATACATTTAGTCAAGCATTGTGTAAAATAAAGAATGAACAGGAAAGCAGTAGAAAGAATGATTTCATTTGCTGATAAACAATATGTTCCCTCTTACTTGGCTTTATCTAAAGTGCTACATAAGTAAGTCGTAGAGGTTTCCAATAGGTTGTTTCTTGTTTAAGTTAACTGGTGCCTTTTTTCCAGCCTACAACAACTCAACAACGGTGTTGCAGTTACTGCAGACTGTGATTGAAGAGAAATCAAAGGCTGTAGATGGAATTCCATCTAATCTCAGTTTGCCTCGCAGCATCTGTTCCTTGTTGCTGCATTTAGAGGCACTCAGAGAACCCAAACCTTTTCTCTGAGGGTCTTGTTGTGATTTACAAGTAAGCGTTCTGTGTTTAAGATTAATAACAAAAAATCACTGTCATATCCATGCTGAGATTATCTATCATGACACAAAACTTTGCTGTCATGGACTCCTTGTGATAAGCAGATTAAGCACCAATGCCTCATGAGAGTAACACTGTGCGTGAGCATTCACATGCGTGTGTTGTAGAGGAAGCATGAATGAGTTTACTGTGGAATGCACAAACTGGAAGGGTCTTCATGTAAAGCAGTATGCCTGGACCTAAGCTGTCATTTGTTCATGTATACATGTACATGTTATTCATACAAGTAAAACAAGTTAAGTCTGGCAGGCATTTCTGGTACAGACTGGTATTTTGATCAGTTAAGACTGTAGTGTCTCCAATCCTTCACCTGTGGGATGATTTAGGATTGTTAGGTTTAATATAGGTTTTCCCTGTCAATTTCAGCAAATGATCAGCCAGTTTAAAGTCTGTGCCATTCTATTTCACAAAAGTTGAATGCAGCTGTAAAACAGTGAATCGGTTTCATTTTAAGACTGGCAAAAGTACTGTTACGTCATTCAATGTAACAAATTATCACCCAAGTTAACAATTCAACCAAAGAGCAATCTGATGTCGCGGGCACTTTTTTAAGGTGTGTTTGGTCATACGTTTTCATTGTTGGGCAGGCATTTCTATCATCTAAAAGATGCACTGTCAAACGGTTCCTTTAGACTGTTAATGGTATAAATACCCTTCACTTATGGGCACAGGAGACACTTTGCTGATGTTCTTCGAAGACAACCTTTCACTACAGTTGTATGCTCATTAAGTGTCTCAGGTAGATCGGGAAAGGTTGATTGATGCTTTTGAGAGAAACGAGCAAGACTACCTTGAGCTTGCGGTCAAATGAAAATAAAACAACCAATGTGTTCACATTCTTTTGGAAACAGACAGAAACACAGACAAAAGTCTGTTTCAGTTTAGTTGTTGCTTTTTGTTTTGCTTTGTCTTATTTTTGACATTTCTTAATCTTACATTAATTTGAATATTCATTTTTTGAAATTTATTGTTTGTTTTTTGTACTAAATTGAAAATTAGGACATTGGTAAAAATCTCGAGTTGCACCAACTTTACTAAATTGAATGATGATTGTGCGTTATGTAAAAGAACAACGCTATTCTAAATTGAACACACTGCTATAAAAGGAATCCGAATGACTAACAATTTGAAACACTGGTAAAACTTGAGTGGAAAAACTGATTTAATTCCAATGCACTAAAATTAAATTGGTTCTCTTTTACCCAAATTGACCGGGAAAACCTATACCAATGATACTGTGTTTAAAGTATTGCTATGCTGTATTTACTTTCAAACGGTGAATTAAGCTAGATGTATCTTATATAGCTTGAGAGGATAATTTTGTGCATTTTTAATTTCTAATGTGGATGAAAATATTTTAATTTCTGTAATAACCAAAGGTATATGATTTATCCCTGAGGGATTTAACTTTTTACACAGATCTCATTTGTCATACACATGTCATATTTGTTACAGTTTCTGTGCTGCTAGAATATCAGTGAATCCATTGCGAGAATTTACTTTGTTCTTAAGACTGATTCAATCTTAGAACATCTCAAAATTGTGTGACTCCTGGTGCACAAAATCAGTATGCCTGTAAATCAGTAATTATGCCTGGGTAAAAAAAATGAACTTGAGAATTTCATTTGACCTTGATGTAATTGTGTAGAAGTGGGTTCTGGATTTAGTCACTAGTTCCTGTATCCATTACAGAGCAAAGTGACTACTTATTAATAAAATGCTTTTTATGTCCTCTTGACAATTAAGAAAATTGACCCCAGGAATATGATGTAGGTTTGTTTATTGCAAGAAGGAGAGACTCAGGTTTCTTTCCTTTACTTTTGCTGGAAATTTATATGAAGATGATTCAATCATTTTTTTTAAGTACCCAATCTCAGGGATTATGAATGCAACATATTTTCGTGATATTTATTAATTTGGGTACATGTATGTAGCTCTGCTTTTGTGCACATCTTAATCAACTCAACTGGGAAGAAATGGAAATGCATTTACAGCAAAGACGTCCTCTGAGAAATAGTACGTAGTAAAAACTCTGCACCAATGGCTATTTTAAAACTGTAAAAAATGAGAGACCAGAACCAAGGGAATGCATGTGAATCTGCTGGCATTGACCATAAGGGTGTACCAAAATGCATATGACTTCTGAGTGTCAAGGCTGGTGACTGATAACTATCTTTTCTTCCATATCTTTGTGGAGGGATTTCATTACATTGGAATCACTGCTCATTTGACTATTATTATTGGTTTGAGGTAGCAAGGTACATGTAGAATGTACGTTGGTTCCAGATGACAGATCTTGTTCTATATCTAGGACTGAATTGGACCTGATTACATTCCACTTGCACCCCTTGGTTTTCATGTTATGATGTTATGTTATCTCTCACGCTCTCTTGAATGTAATTTCTTTGAATGGAATGGACTACCCTCTTTAAAATAACAGTAAATACGTTGGGTAAAGGCTTACTTTGGCCTCTTACTTTGTACCTTTGTTATTGTATGGAACCTTACAGCTGTGGTTTTTTCTATTTCCTCCAAAAGAGGAGTTTGTGGATTGTTTGCCAGAGCCATTATTCAAAACTGTGTATGACCCATCCATGTAAATTCTCAATTTCTGCTCAGTGCAAGACTGGGTTTTGATACAGAATAAATCTATGCACTGATTATGTCATGCCCTACATGTATGGTTACCTGTAGAGTTTGAACTATTTATTCCCTCCTGGCTCCCATTAGAAATAATGTGTAATAAAGCAAAGCATGACATACTGCAGGGTCTAGAGGAATGTATTGGTTTACTACATTTGGGTGGATTTGGGAGATTTTGCAGCGAGATGGCCAACAATAGGGCAACAATTTCACAAATTATAATTAGTCTCAGAGGTTAAATGTTGATCTTTCAGCATTTACAAATATTATTTATTGTAAAAAGAGTTTCGAATGATCCATAATCAAATTATCCACAGCATTGTTCTGGTTATTAAATTATGTTCCCACAGATTGACCTCATCCGTGTAGGGTCAGTGGTTCTACCAATTTAAGTTCTTGAAGGTGTTTCTGCAAGTGAAGATATAACATTCATTGTTATTCAGAGTTTGTCACAAGATGGGCCCCCAAAATGAGATGCATTGATTGCATTGCTAATAAAATCAAGTCAAGAGTTTTGCAGTTATTACAATGGCGCATGTATGAGATACATAAATTGGTACTCCGAGCTGTATGTTTATCTCCCAGGAGAGTGTTGACCAAATTGTGAGGTATATGGACTATTTCCAAGCTTCTTTCATTTGGATTGCTTTACATGTATTATAATTGCAAATGCTAGTTTCTAATTGTAAATGCTTAAAATGGTTTTGGAGCAAACCATTTTAGAGTGTGTGCTGTAGTTTAAAAAAATAAAGTATGATTTTGGTGAATGTTATTACAGGTTTAAAATAACATTCATCTTCTTCCAGATTGCTGCTGTATGCTAAGAGTCTTTTATCTAGACTGTTCATGAAAATTTGTACAATTCCATGAGAAACCATTCTCATACATTATCAAGCCACCTTTTACTTTAGTTACTGTGTCTGATTTTCAACAAGCCAACTAAAACCATGTAATGTCCATGTGTTGGGGGAATCTCTTTTGAAAACACGATTTACTGAAATGAGATTGAACAAGATACTTCAGAGCTATTGTAGGTGTATGATTGGAATTTGCTAGTGCATATTTTTTGCAGCTATTGCTAATCACAAGAAAAAGATAACATTTTGATGGGGAGCAATAATTTAGGGGTGATATTACAACTTAGTAAAACTCATGGTTTCTGTAGTGCAGAGTGGGATCCACATGTAATTACTGGTATACAGTACAGCCAAACAAAATCTCTACCTCTTTGTGAAGCATGTGTAGTTGTGAATTGAAAATGAATGTCATAAATGTACTACTTTTTCATTTGCAAATGTTGGCATGTATGCTACTGCTTTCCTTTAGAGCAGTGGGACGTTTAATATTTGTTGTACCTTAATAGTACGCCTCCTTAATTTTGTGCCCCCCCCCCAAAAAAAAATTTTGGAGGAATTCAGTGAATGAATCGCTCAAAAATAGATGGTGAAGGTCTTAAGTAGTATTAGTTGTTTGGCTGTACATATGCCTTAATACTTGTTTTCACAACATAAATATTCCAGCTGAGCACTTGTACAGTTTAATGCATTATTCTGTAACAAAAGATATATATAAACCGTTGACTTCTTTGATAAGATTCTGAATGTGTTTATTGTGATCGCAGTATTTTCTCTGGTCGATTAAAATGATGTGGATTTGACCTCGAAGCCTGTGGAACTGACAAGTTCACACAGTTCTTACTACAAGACTCTCAACTTTACATTTAAAGTTGCAGAATAGAAATACTTGCACATCGAACAGAATATTTGATTTTACACAACATGATGCCATGGTTTCAATGACAGTGGCGACGCAGCGCTGAGAATTAACAAGCTGGAACCTGACACAAAATCCAAGGTTTCAGAAATGGCTTCTGTGCTGTTACTCCCATCTTTTTGTAATCAGTCAGTAAATGCTGGGCTAGTTATTTTGATAAATGCAAATGAAGAGGCCTAAATTATCAGCAGGTGATCATCGTTGTGCATCGTCCTTTTTATGAAATGCTTAACTTCCACTTAGATTCAAACCTTGACCCTCTCAACTGGTCAAAAATAAAAACTGGTTAAATACATGTATGTGCTTCAGCTCAGTCATTGGTCACACCTACTATGTATACGTTAGTATAGATATTTAATAGGCTACCTTATTTTGAATGTCTTCCGGTTGCCTCCAGTCGTTATACGTTTTTTTTTTAATGAATTTAGCTACTGAGAGGTGATTCGCGTATTAGTGAACACAGTTGTGAGTGGTTAGCAATATTAAAAATGTAGACAAGACAGTAAAGACTGGCATTTTGGGCTTTTTGTTTTACATCTCTTGTATGGGCTTTAGAATGAAACTGGTTTATTTAAAACATGTTTCAAAGACTTTCACATCGGTTCCAAACATTTTCCCGCCCTCAGAGGACGTCTGTAATAAGACGTCTGAAGACTACGTCTGGGACGGGAACCAGTCTACCACAAACGTGAGGACGTGGTAGAGGGTAATGAGTCCGGCAGAATCCTGCCGGGTGTATGTAAATGATGAAACGACCCCCTCCCCTCTCAATGCACAAATCAAGCAGGAGGAGCTGATAGCATATTTTGCTTTTTCTTCTTTGTTACCGATAAAAACTTGACCGTAAATGGTTCATTTATCAAAAATTTAACGCAATTGAAATAGCTACTGATTTGAAATAAAATGATTTATCCGTGATAATCATTGAAATATAAATTACCACACTGTGATCAACAGAGGTTAGCAAGAACAGGTACATTGGGGGGGGGTCAGCGCTGAAACGTAGTACATGTTAAAGCTTGGCTATTGGCCTCACAAAAATTTAAATATTCAGCATCCAAATTGCAGGGGCTAATAGCATACGCTAAACCGCAGCTAGCTGTCGGTCCCTATAAAATGGAGGCAGGGAACCATTCCAGTTTGTATCATGTAGCCGAAACTTTGCCGTGGCAAAGCACTGCCATAAGCTTTTCTTAATAGTTACGCAAATGTTATGCAACGGGACTGAACACGAGGCTGTAGGGGATTCCGCGCTGTCGGCGAACATGGCGAAGCGTTGTTCAGTGCCCTGTTGTAGGAATCACGAACGAAGACCATCGCCAGAAATTAGCTTTCATCGATTCCAAAGAACAAGATCCAGCGGAAAAACTTGATTGTTAAGATCAAACGAGACGAGGGGACACTATTCAAGGTAGATTTTGACTTTGAAACGACTTCTGTGGGCACTTAAGTTGTTCGTATAAAAAATCATAATCACTGCCCCTACACCGTACACGTTATTGCACTTTGGAGCAGTTCGATTGATCCAGTCTTTTCCTTCGTCCTCCGTGATTGATTGCGCCCAGCATAAATGAAATAACGTCTGTAATTTTCGAATTCGCATCTACAGAATAAACCTTTTCAATGCGAACGTCGAAAAGGTTAATTCTGAACTTCGAAAGGAAACAGCCCAGTCGTTAAAGGTAAACCACTGAATGACCAAAAAGTCTCCACACTGCTCGATCGTGGCGACAACCGGCTGTTTAGACCTAGACATAAATGGTGCATGCATGCAACGTCAACAAAAGGTCCCAGATAAAATCCCATTAATAAAATGCTTATTCTTCAGATTACGAATGTAGGCTTCTGAAAAATACGTGAAGCCTTTACCAAATTATTGCTCTCCACTGCTTTTGGAGCCCTTTTTGACGTAATCCTCCATAAACCAGAAGGTTATCTCGGAAACCACGGAAAGATACGTTTCGTTTACAGCCCTCATGACACGCGAGTTCCCTACAGCCTCGTTTTCGGTTGCCATGAATAAAATTTGCAGTAACAGTTAAACCATCTTCTGCTTCAACTTGTTGGCTCAGAGTTTAGAACGGAGTTTAGGACATTAACCCTAACATTCCTGAATCCTCCAATTTTAATGTGATTTTGCACACACCCTAGGGAGTTAGGGTTAATCAAAACAATTACCAATCACTACATCAACTGCATAAATTGAAAGATCATGTGACATCGGGTGCCTGTCACGTCTGCCAATAATGACGCTCTGTTCAGTGATTCTGCCGGGTTCTATGGTCATACTTGACGATGACTTTCCTCCAGTGGTCAGTTTAGTGGCGATGGACATAGTTGTTACTAATGCTCGGTGACGAAAGTACAGACTGTACGTCAGACAGTGTGGTCAGAAGCAGGAAAAATAATGAAGGAAGGGAAGCGAACTGGGTCGGTTCCCCTCAGCGAAGATTTTAAATGGGAGATATTAAACAAATTCGAGGTGGTGACTGATGGTAAAGAATACAACAGCAGTAAAACAAGGTGACTTTTCACCACCCCGAGATCTTAAATCCGTCTCAAGTAGGCCGAATAAAATATTCTTATTAAGAATAGAAACTTGAAATTAACAAGGAAATAGACACGCGCTTAGAAACAGGCGAGGGTGTCAGGGAAATAAACTGACTGCATAAGCAAAATATGTAATCGTAGTGGCAAGGCTACAATAACGTTGAGTCAATGACCCAGATTTTTCTTACGATAGTAAAAAAGATTTTTTCAAATTCTTTGAAATTCCATATCTGCCGTCGTGCGTCGCCCGTTGTGTGTCGCCCGTCGTTTTTTTTCTTTGGTCACGCTTGTGCTTGCAGTGCTATTTTTCACTTTGACCTTCTCTTTTCACCTACTTCTTCGATCGATCTGCGCATGCCTGTCTGTCCCTTCACGATATCCCAACACGGATCATACCCCGGAAATACAAGACTAACTTTGAACTGAATGTTAATATGACTTACAATGTTTGATTCCTTGAATATCTTTTATACTATAGAGACGAACCGATTCAACATTAAGTTGAGGGCGGGTATACCTACGATGCGATCTGCTGTATACTCCAAATCATATGATGACTTGAGTTGCAAGTACAGGCATACAGACGTCTTTTAAACAGTAATGTCACTTTGTTAGCCCCGTAAATGGCGCTGACATGCTAGACTACCTGTGCTCACTGGCCTACCCACCATGGCATACGCACCCACAAAAACCAATATTTTCTGAAAACTAAACCAAGTGATAATTGCCCCCTAACATTCAATAAACAGTTACTTATCCGCAGCACAATTGACAAAAACAATTTGCTGTCTAGTATGTGGATTTCAAGGTGAAATTGAGAGGAAAAATGGAATGTCTGTATCGGCTGGCAGACTTCTTTCTAGAATTTTATGAAAACAAGTCAGCACATTTAGGCAAGAATGAATTGCACTGCGGATACGTTTGCCTAAACAATTTTGCGGGAAAAAAATTCAAAAAAACATTTGGTTGAATTTTCAGAAAGGCGACGGGCGACGCTCGACGGGCGACGGAAAATTATGGTGTTCTATACCCGCCAAATGTCCCGTCGCCCTGACGCGACGCCACGACGTGACGCTACGGTGCAACGACACGACGCGACGGAAAGACATCAGGACGTGGCAGCGCGACGGCAAGACGGAACCAGCACGACGCGACGGCGTGAAAAACGACAACACGACTCGACGGCACGACGCGACGCCCAGACGGCACGACGCAATGCATTAAACACTGCATTTAATTTAAAGCAATGAGAAAGGAGGCGACGCCACGGGACGACGCGACGGAGCTGTCGTAGCGTCGCGTCGTGGCGTCCGGCGTCGGGGCAACGGGACGACGCGACGTAATTTTGGCGGCTATAGACCACCATAATATACGGAACTGGAAAATGGCAGAATTAAATTGGGACACAACAAAAAGCAAGAGACGAGACAACAGGCGACAGCCTGAGGCGACGCCCAACGGCAGATATGGAATTCCGTGCACTGCAGTCTGTAAGACTAAGAGATAAAACAGAAAACTGCTCCTCGTTAAATCCACTACATACAAATACAATTCATGACTTGAGTAAACACATTCATATTCATGGTACAGATAGATGTAGGTGTTTAATTAAAGTATAGCTAAAGTGTCAGGAAGTATACAATGTATTTATGTTTAGACTGTTTTGTTGTATGCATAGGAAATGATCATTACAGAACCTTACAATTTTTAAAGTATTATTTTCATTGTAAAGAAAGAATGATTTGTATTTCTCAGGTCGAGGACTACTCAAGCAATCAAGCCAATGCTCCAATTAAAATTTTCAGTGTCTAACAATAATTTATGCTTCTGAAATACTTGTTTTGGATAACCTTTTACTCCTTTTGTAAAGCATGCAAGTTATAGTATGATAAGTTCGTATGATTCCTCAAATGATTCTCTGTTGCTGTGAAACGATAGTGGCCTTCAACCTTACTGCCTCCGAACGTAAGCAGTAGGCCCAGGCAGGCCACAAGTTAACGAGTTTCAACCAACTGGTCGTAAATTCTGAATGGTTGGCCCTGTCCTGACCTGACCTCCATGAACTTAGCTTTCTTGGCCCATTCTTGACCTGTATTCACGATGAAACCACTGAAATAGTTTGACGAAATGACTTTTATAAGTTTAGGTTGCACTTGAAGTTGACGTCATTCTTATCTTTGTATAGGGGTGCACCCTCGTAATTAGGCCAGAAATATGTCCGCCGAGCTCATTAATAAAAGTTATAGACTCAAAATATTCCATATTAGAGGGTCCGGAGAGCCATGGAACTGAGGAATTGAAGAAATATGAGACTGGACCTCTGGGCCGGACTCGGGGCTTTCAATTCTGAGCAATTTGGATGCAATCGGGTTTGAAAGTGGCACTATTTGAGCCATTTTGCCGAGGGAGGGTTTTTCAAAATGGCTACTTTTCTGGACAGGGACATTTTCTACAATTTAGGGGTGGTCTGCTTCTGGCGAAAATTTCTCAAAAATTCATTGGTCAACCCCCCGAAAATTGAAAGGAAAATGAAAGAGGACATGTGGAACATCATTTTTCTGTGCAGCCTGAACACCTGTGAACGTTGTATTTTTAAAATATTTGTGAAGTATGGGGATTCATCACTGCCGTCTAAGGGAATTTACTTTTAGTGGTGCACCCATAGGCACATATACAGAGAATGCGCGAGACCACTGTATTGGTACCCGCGTAATCTGTATATAAAAGGTGCACTGAACGAATTGAAGCCCCATTGAAGACAATGTAAAATCGACCACGTTTGCAGCCCCAGTGCGGGCAACCAAAGTGCCTCATGCCTCTCAAACAAAAAAACAAAGTGTTCTGGGGTCATTTAGCTCTCAATTGATTTTCAATTTTTAGTAGGTTAACCAATGAAATTTTTAATTATCGACCCAAAACAAACTCACCTCCCAAAAAGTGAACGTTCCCAAGTCTGT